AGATTTTTTTAATGTTGAAATAGAGTAAATTCAGTGAATTAGAAAAATAAAAGGAGCTTATCCTCCAAAAGCCACCAGAAGCATATTATGGCTCTAATCCAACAAATATTTGTGCACACATGTAACTTTTCTCATGTGAATAAGATTAATAACATATCTAATCAGGATTTGTAATTCAGGAAGCTCTGGGAAAGAACTCTTAAGAGACAAGAAAAACATAGCTGACAGTAATGTTTTCCTGGAGATCATGACCTATTTGTTCTTTGTATTTATGCTCACCTAACTAGATGTGCTCTGGAGATTATATTTTACTTAAGACTTTCCTGGAAGATTGTTTTAGCTCAATAATACATCTTTCTTCTTCCTTATCCATTCAATTTTTGGATCTGACTTGTCTGTTTTGCCACAGAGAACATTAATTCTAAGATCTGTGCAAAACACTTGGATAATTTAATTATTTGTATATTTTTCACTATGTTTGATAACCCCACAAAGTGCAAATATCTTATTTAAAGTATTGCAGAAGAAAAAAATGTTAGAAATTATGGTGTCACAATTCAAAGCTTCCATTTGCATTTTGTAATTCTTAATTCAAACCTGAATACCCTACTGGAAGAGATACTGTTGCAAACACAGAGTATTATGTTCAATACAAGAATTACTGGAAACAATTCAGTCATTATGGTGTATAAAAATGAGAGACTAGATGACTACATTTAAGTTTTAATAACATCTATTTTTTATCCATCAAATATCTGTATCTTTTCAGTTAGTCTAGGCTGATAAACTGTATCACAGCAACTGCTGTTCTTATCTTGATAAGGCATCTCAGTACAGAGATTTTTGAGAATATTTTTGACTGTTTCTGTACAGAGTCCCTTGGAGTGAATAGGATCATCTATTTCCAGTTATCTTTGCATCATCCACTTGGTTGAAAATGCAGTTAAGATGATTTTTTTTTTCCAGCTAATGTTGTTTCAAAGGCATTTCAGCCCAGAGATCACAGCTGAAGTTTTTCTTACAAGTTCCTACTAATGCATGAAACTTATCTATAATGAATAATTGCAGTAATGGAGTTATATAAATTAGTAACAAACTATATATAGATATATGACCACTACAGATATGCAGGGATTTCTTCTTGGCAAGGAAATGGATTTTTTTTTGTCATGTACACATGAAGACTGCTTTCTAGGAACACTTAGGACACTACATTAAATATAAAGCTGTCCTGGGTTCAGCAGTAGCAGTCATTTTTCTCCTTCTTGGTAGCTGGTGCAGTGCTGTGTTTTGACTTTTGGCTTGGGAGCAGAGCTGATAACAATGATGTTTTGGTTTGACCAAGGACTTTGTGAGGCTCATGCTCTGCCAAGGAGGAGGGGAAGCCGGGAGGAAGCAGAGACAGGGTGCCTGACCCAGGCTAGCCAAAGAGGTATTCCATACCACAGCATGTCATGCCCAGGATGTACTGGGAGTTACCCAGAAGGGCTGGGAGTCCACAGGGTTGGAGGAGATATCGGTGGGTGCTTGGTCTGGTGGTGGGGGGGGAGTTGTCGGTTGGCTGGTGGTGAGGTGATGTATTCTTTCCCCTTGTTATTTCCTTTATCATTATTATTATTGCTGGTAGCAGTAGTGATCTGGTTATACCTTAGTTACTAAACTGTTCTTATCTCAACCTGTGGGAGCTGCATTCTTTTCGATTCTCCTCTCTGTCCCCCTGGGAGTAGGGGGAGAGGAAGAAGGAGCGGGGGAAGGGGGAAGTGAGTGAACAAGCTGTCTGGCTAGGGTTTAAATAATCGGAGCATAATGTCAGAAAAACTAAAAGAACAAAGTCAAGTTTCTAAAATCAGACAATTAAAACTGCAATTTGATATGCAAAGCAGCTAATAGAAATCAGAGGCTGTGCCAGCTGCACTTATAACTGCCACTGTGTACATGCAACTTTTGCTTGCATTGTATGAATAGCTTCATTATCTGTAGACTTTTCCTAACACGTCAGCTTGCTGAAAAACCAGCCAAAGAGGACTTTCTTCAAGGTATATGTAGTTTAACTGGGTAATACTAGGAATCAGTTGCTGCCAAAGAGTTATTGTCGTGGTTTAAACCTAGTCAGGTAACTCGTTCACTCACTTCCCCCCCCTTTTCTTGCCCTCCCCCTGCTCCCGGAGGGACGGAGAGGAGAATCAAATAGAATGCAACTCCCACGGGTTGAGATAAGAACAGTTTAGTAACTAAGGTATAACACAGATCACTACTGCTACCACCAATGATAATAAAGATAAAGGAAATAACAAGGGAAGAGAATACAACACCTCAGCACCAGCTGACCGATAACTCGCCCCCCAAGCCCGACCAAGGTCCGACCGATACCTCCTCCAACCCTGCAGTCTCCCCACCCTTCCGGCTAACTCCCAGTTACATCCTGGGCATGACGTGCTGTGGTATGGAATACCTCTTTGGTCAGTTTGGGTCAGGAGTCCTGTCTCTGCTTCCTCGTGGCTTCCCCTCCTCCCTGGCAGAGCATGAGGCTCACAAAGTCCTTGGCCAAACCAAAACATCGCTATCAGCTCTGTTCCCGAGCTGAAAGTCAAAACACTGCACTACACCAGCTACCAAGGAGGAGAAAAATGACTGCTACTGCTGAACCCAGGACATTATCCACCCCTTATTCCATACCATTCACGTCGTGCTCAGATCCCACATTTTCAATATACCATCACTCTTATCTCAGTGCACTCTTATCTTAGTGCATGGACCAGACCCTATAAAGCTGCTGAGTCCATCTGGTCCATGATTTCAGGCTTCATCTCTTGTAACAGTCTTCCAGAGCAGGAGAGACTGTGTGCAGTGTTCACACTCGTGAATAACCTGGGCAATAGTGTCCATTGCTAAGTCCACCCCTCGATCATGAGTCCATCTCTGTGTTGCATCTCTGCTCTGATGGCCTGAAGTGCCATGGGCCCACTAGGCTCAAAATAATTCACTGTCCCCTTCAGCAGTTTCTGCAGCTTGTTGCTGGGGACTCCATACAGCTGCCTTCCATCTCCGACGCTTCCAAAGCACTGGAGGGGCCCAGTGGACTAGATACTTGCCCATACTGTCACACACACCTTGCCACTCATGACTGTCCAGCCTTGGGGAAAATCTCTTGGTCTCCCTATATTGTCGTCTAACCCCAGACAAGACCCAAACCTGACTCTGCTTAACTTCTGAGATCAGACAAAATGGTTGTGGGTAGAACACAGTCTGTGTGTGTGCCAACATGCTGATCCCCATCACAATCAGCAGGAAGGTCCCAAGGATACCCAAAGGCCATACAGAGCCTTCAGAACTCTCAGTTGATGCTGCTGTACTTGTCACTGGGGCTGGTGTAGCTGCTGTGCTTGCCGGCTCTCCCACCACCAGCTTCTCTTTTTCTGAGTCCAGCTCTTCCTCCTCTGCCTTGCTGGGAAATGCTGCGTGGTCTCCTGCGTTCTCCTGGGGCTCGGCGGGCGGCTTCCGGGGAATGCTCTCGGCCGTCGCGGAGCTCGGCTCCTCCGCGGGGCTCGGCTCGGCCGAGGAGCTCGGCTCCTCCGCGGGCCTCGGCTCCTCCGCCGCCTTCTCCCGCTGCTCTGCAGCCGCCTCCTTCCTGTCCTCGACCGCCCCGGCCTCCTCCACCGGCAGCCGTCCCCTGGCGGCCTCCGGCCCCGCTCCCGCCGCCGCTTGGTCCCCGGGGCCGCTCTCCCGGGCCGCTTCGGCTGCCGCCAGCTCCCGGGGCCGCTCCCCCTCGGGTCCCCGCAGCCTCACGAAGATGGAGAGTAGGGTGAGGGCCAGGACGGTGAAGAGCAGCCGGACGGCCAGGTACAAGTCCACGGCCACGTCCGTCTCGCCCTGCTGCTGGAGCCCGCCCGTATTACAAGTCATTGCCATAAAGCACAGTGAGACAAGAACCTTAGCCCAGGCCCCACACTTGATAAACACTAACACAGCGATTACCGGCTCTACGTAAGTTACAACGGTCTGAAGCTGTGAGATCAACAAGAACAACTCTGAGAGCCAATAAATCAGCATTGTGACGAATGACTATTAATCCAGTCAGATCTGTCGTTATCTCAACCCTTCGGGCCCCACGTTGGGTGCCAAAAAGAACTGTCGTGGTTTAAACCCAGTCAGGTAACTCGTTCGCTCACTTCCCCCCCTTTTCTTGCCCTCCCCCTGCTCTTGGAGGGACGGAGAGGAGAATCGAAAAGAATGCAACTCCCATGGGTTGAGATAAGTTTAGTAACTAAGGTATAACACAAATCACTACTGCTACCACCAATGATAATAATGATAAAAGAAATAACAAGGGAAGAGAATACAACACCTCAGCACCAGCCGACCGATAACTCGGCCCCCAAGCCCGACCAAGGTCCAACCGATACCTCCTCCAACCCTGCAGTCTCTCAGCCCTTCCGGCTAACTCCCAGTTACATCCTGGGCATGACATGCTGTGGTATGGAATAGCTCTTTGGTCAGTTTGGGTCAGGTGTCCTGTCTCTGCTTCCTCCTGGCTTCCCCTCCTCCCTGGCAGAGCATGAGGCTCACAAAGTCCTTGGCCAAACCAAAACATCGCTATCAGCTCTGTTCCCGAGCTGAAAGTCAAAACACTGCACTGCACCAGCTACCAAGGAGGAGAAAAATGACTGCTACTGCTGAACCCAGGACAGTTATGAAACACAAATGTCTGATGTTAATGACTTCCCTTTTGCAGAGAAGAGATTGCTTGAGAATATAACCTGATATGCTTACTGTGTAACCCTGCCTATCAAGCACTTTTATGAATATGATAGTCTGCAAACTTGTATTTGTGTGGAGAAAACTGTCTGTATTTAGAAAATAAAACGGGAGTACACTGAAATGAGGAATGGGGAGAGAACAGAAAAGGCACACCAGTTCTGAAAGATGTCCTAGATCCAAACTAAGGGAACTTTTAAATTTTTATTTGCTTAGTACTCCCATTTTCTGGGTTTGATTTTTAGTTTTTGAGAAGCTATGTAGCCCTGTTGACTAGGATGGAGCAATGCCAACCTACCCTGCAGAAGAACCTGTCTGCCCTATGTGCTTGTCTGTGTAGGTAAGGAAGGTGGTATGACATGTGCTGCACCCTTGTGGTTTAAATGGGTAGCTGCAGTTGTTGATTGACAGTTTAGGAGTGCCTTAAAATGACTTCTCTCTCAAATGATTTACATTGCACTGTTGTTTAGGATTTCTTAAGTTTTGGGGGGTTTTATTTAAAAAAATTGTACTCAAACCTAATTTTGAAACATAACTTGAAAATCTTGATTTCAGGTTCTTGATATTTATCACAATTGTCTGTGTCCATATGTAAGTTCATCTAAATATGAATTTAAAAAAATAAAACCTTCAAAATTTTGAGTTTGTATACTGTTAGTGAGTCATCATATATAAAGTTATTCATCATATATATTGTCAGGTCAGCTAGCAGAAGACTGAAGATGCAATGTAGCTAATTTAAAGAAACATCTAGTTTGGGATACTGTGTTACTGAACATTATATTAATTGGCTGGTTAAAGTGCAGCTTGATATTTTTTTCAATGCAGTTTAATTTCTGGATCTGTGTTCTTTTGAGTGATTTTTAGCCAGTATGATTAATTTATACTGTATTTAGTAGGATCAGTAATATTTTTCAGCAGATATATAATTATGTACAATCACAGGAAGATTGAATCACAACACACATTGTGTCTTTCTTCATATGTGGGAATTTCAGTAGGAATATTCACTGTGATGGTCAGATATTTTACCATAACAGTGACAGCACTGTTTATCAGACATATAATATTAGTAGGAAATCTTTTCTATTATTGCAGTTTGTGTTTTGTAATGTAAATAATTTGATTTTTGACTTGCATTAAGATGTGGCATGATTTAAGAAGCATACAGAAGTGTCCTAGTTTCTCCCTATTATCCATTTATCACTTAAAACCCAGCATATTTTCTTTTCTTTTTTTTTTTTTTAATGTGTCACATACTAGCATACATGCTTAAAATATCAAATTGATTTTTTTTTTTCCCTCCATCTCATCATGTGTCCTTTTTTTCCCATCACTTCATATTGGGAATTCTTTTTCAAACAGAACTCTGGAACATCAAGATTTTATTTAATTTTGGAGCAAAGCAATCACTCGTAGAATGATATCTCATGATTTGCTTTGAAACAATGGTGTTGTGTAAATTTAAATGGTGATAATAACGATTTGGAAATATACATTGCTAGGTGTTTAAGGAAAAATTTTCTTTGATTTAATATTGTGAAACCAGTAGTATATCTATGGGTTTCAGAACAGTTTATTTATATTTATGAAAATATAAATGAAAACATTTTTCCAGACTGCTGGAAAACTTAGAAAAGACAAGAAATTTTATGATGATAGAATCTGGCAATTCTGTGAAAGAATAATTTTGCAATTCTGACACTTGCTATGGAAAAGGAAGGAAGTATAATAGAGGAAAATAAATGTAAGGATTTCTGTTGCAGGAGGGGGTAGCAAGTAAGAGAGCTAGTGCATTCTGTTGATAAAGAAAAGAGCAGTTCTGAAGAAATGTTATATTGAGATCAATGTGGCTATTTTAATATTAGCATTTTTGCATACTTGGTGCACTGTAAATAATTGCATATGGTTGCCTTTCTTCTCTTTGTACCTCGGGGCAGTGGTAGTGCCATCTAATGTTCTAATTAATCTGCAGCAGCTTCCAAGTCAGACTTTCAATGGCAACAAAAAAATACTTCCAGGAATGATGAACTTGGCTGTACTCCAGCTGACACTGTGGCTGCTGCTCAAATAATCCCTTGGCTTTTATGGCAACATAATCAAGTTAAGAAAATCTGGACAAGATATTTGGAGTCAGTCAAGTACTCTATGTTACTTTAAAATGCTGAACAGGTGCAAGTGGGATAAATTCAAAATGGTCATTAGCCAAAACTCGCTTTGAGGAAGGTGGAGCCAACATCTGTGCTTTTTTTCACAGATACAAAAGAGCAGGCTCCCAAGGAAATGTGAGTAGGATCCAAATGGATGAAGCAGCATGACTGAATAAAGCATTCTGATTTAAGACTTTCCCTGCTTACAGTAATTAGCATTTGAAAAAAACCATGATCAATCTTTTTTTTTTTTCCTCTTGAGGTAGAAAAGGAGGAGTCTGATTTAATTCAGAAGGACATTAACTCCAAGCACCTACCTAATCAAATATTAACTGTATTCAGAACAAGCAAATTATAACCTTTTTATAGCAATTAAGTGTTCCTTCTATAGCTGCATGGATTTTTTCACAGTGCTTTTGGTTTTTGCTAAACCCTCTAATCTTAGTTTACCCTTCAGATGTTCTGTGTTTTAATGACAGGCTGATAGGACCCTCCTATAATAGATCTTTATGACATCATTTAATTTATATCCTAGAAAATGGGAAAGGATTTTGTGTAACAGAAGTAAAATCAGGTTCGTAAATCATAGTGTGACAGTTCATATCATCAGTGAGATCTGAAGATATCTGAAGTTTGGTTTTTTTGACTCTCTGGTTAACTCAAGGAAAGAAATTTAATTTTATGTACTCCATTTATTTTTTCTTACGACCTTCCTCATTTTGAAGTTTAAACAAGATACCTGCGTGAGTTTACATGTCAACTTTTCTTCAGCTATTTATTAAGGTGTTGTTTTGGTGAATTACCAACACTTGCCTTTGTATTTCTGTCCTTCTCAGCCCTGGCACTGCTGTGAATACTGTAGCCATGTGTGGTTAGATGAGATCACAGAGGAGAACCAAGCATAGATGGAATTATACTCATACTGGAAAATCTACTGCAGATTATGTCTGGACTTGCTTTTATTAGTTTGTTTCCATGCAATATATAAGCATAGGCAATTATTTCTAGCTGATATTGTAGCATCACATGTAACATGGTCTTGCAGAAATAGTAGTCAAAAAGACTTTTTACTGCCCTTGGTAGGCCAAAAGAGCACATTGGTTTATTTGGAATTTGGTTATCACAAAATCCAACCTTTCAGCATCCAGGAGACTATGTGCATTGTACAGCTGGTGACACTGTGTAGTCAGCCTGAAACTTGATCCTAAGGATTTTACTTGAACTGTACTTGTCGCCAGACAGTTTTGTACTACATTTAACATAGTATTCTACTGTTTTGTATTGCATATGTATAGATATTTATTGAAGTAGGTATGAATTCCATTTCCAAGTATCTTCAGATTAATAACAGGAAAAATCTTGGTATTATTAAATCTGGTTTTATACAAGTTTTAAACTCTAGACGCCTATACAAACTTTCTTCCACTTCCCTTTTAGATTAGATTCGTCTGGCTAGTTTTAATAAAGAGATGATAACTTTATACAGTTAAGGCTTGTCTCTAGGAAAGATCCATACTGCCACTAGTATAAATGTAAGAGTCATTCCAGTATTTCTGTTAGAAGTCTTAAATCTGGAAATGTATTCTCCTGGCATTTGGAGTAGGCTACAGAGTTCACCTACCTGCATATTGGGAAGCTAAAATATGCTGAAGCCTGTCACTTAAGAACTATTATTCACTATTGTTGCTTTTTAAACTCTAGAGATACCAAATAAGACTTTTTCATTGTGGTAGATAAATGGGTTAAAACATCCTAATATTCAAATAGACAAAGGATATAAGGTAAGAGAAAGAAATTTTATTCACCTCACATTATTAGTGAGGAACGGGGGGAGAGACTTGCAGGATGAGCTTTGTGTCACATTATACTTCCTCACACTTTACAAGCTACACTGACTTATATGTCAAAAGAAATAATTTCCTCATCAAAGATATATGTGACCTTTTGTGCATCTTTGTGGGCAGAACACAGTGAACACAGGAATGAAAACACAGGAATGAAAACACATGTTCCATTTTTCTTCTTTTCTCTTTCACCATATCACCAGTTTTCTGACAAACAATACGCCTTGGTTATCAGCTTCTGAAGTTAAAACACCATCTTATCTCTGGTTTGCTTATTTATTTCTTCAGGGGTTCCAGACTTGCAATGGAACAAAATGGTGACAACCCCAGCTATGGAGCATGTGATGCATTACTGCATCCTTAAACTCCTGTCCACATTTAACTGGAGCTGCAGGTATTTAACAACATTGTAAGTAATACACAAACACCCACTGAATTAGTTTTTCTTTACTCCTTCTCAGTTTTTGAGGCACAGGACTGACTCCTGTTTTCTGAATGATGGATTGAGATTTTGTTTACTCATTAAAAAACAGTACCACAGTCTTCAAGCAAGTATAAACCTGTATGAAAAACTCATCACTGTTGGAGAAAGAGACTGACAGGAATCTCATGCAGTTCAGCAAAGTGAAGTGCAAAATCCTGTACCTGGGGCAAAACAGCCCTGGGCAGCAGTACTCACTGAGAACTGCCCAGCTAGAAAGCAGCCTTGCAAAAAAATGACTTGGGGAGCTAGTCTCATTTCAGTGGTGCCCAGTAGCAGAACCAGAAGCAATAGGCACAGGCTGAAATACAGGAGGTGAAAAATCAAAAAACACTTTGTTGCTGTGAGGATGATTAAAAGTACAGAGGCTTGCTTGTCAAACGTTTGTCAGTGCAAGCTTAGGAACTCAGTACAACTTCTACCTTTAAATAACCAGGTTTGAACATGTTAATATAAGGGCCAGTTTTTAAAAATTTATTCTCGTGACGTTCAAGTGGAATGCTGTGCCCAAGCCCTAGTGAAAATCTAGCCATTAGTTAACCAGTTTGATTTGTATTCCTTTCATCCAACCCAGGATTCTCTGCAAATTGAACAACATAATGCATATTTTCTGTTTAATCAATTAATTTCCTGTTATGAGAATAAGATTTTCTTTTTACCCTGAATATTGGTTAGTTGTAAATAGGATTTTTCACTGAAACTGAAAAAACACTAGTGTAAAGGTAAGGGATATTAGCACATACTTGGTCACTTGTGTGGTGTAATCAATCTACACTGGATGTTTAAGGTGAAACTGGTGTGCCACTACTCAGTCAAATATAATCATGTCTCTTCAAAGCTG